AAAAAAAAAAAAAAAAAAAAATTGTTCACTAAGGCTGGGCATGGTGGTTCACACCTGCAATCCTAATACTTTGGGGGGCTGAGGAGGGAGGATTGCTTGAGCCCAGTAGTTCAAGACTAGCCTAGGTAACATAGCAAGACCTCATCTCTGCAAAAAAAAATCAGCCAAGCACGGTGGCACACACCCGTAGTCCCAGCTGCTCTGGAGGCTGAGGTGAGAGGATCACCTTAGCACAGTTGGTTGAGGCTGCTGAGAGCTGTGATCATGCCACTGCACTCCAGCCCTGGGAACAGAATGAGACCCCGACTCTAAGAATAAAAACTAAACAACACACACACACACACACACACACACAAATTACTCACCTACTCATAACCCTACTTCTTAGGGACCTGCCACTAGTGTTTCCAGTGTTTTTTTCCTGCTTGTTTTTCTGTGTGTCCCTTTCCCCCCAAGTTAACACTTTATCAAGAACATTTCTTTCTTATATTTAAAAAAACTCGAATTACCTCCACCCCCATCCCACCCTCTTCTGTGCTGGGTGGATGGTTTGTTCTAACAAACATAGACCATTTACTCAGGCCTGACCACATCTTTCCTGGATCCCTGATCCCATGTACAGCAAGAACTTGGTCACTGGTTTAGGGCACTGACTTTAGAAATCCCTTCTCGAGACCCACCCTGGACGCCCTTTAGAGCAGTGCTCTCTCACTTCTGTTTCAAGGGCTCAGATGTGTGGCGTGCCTAGGTATACAGTAGAGCCATATTCAAGAGCAAACCACAGGAAGTCTGAATGATGAGGATGCAGAGACCTTCGGTTCACTCCCCTCACTTTAAGGTAGGGCTGGCACTTGCCCAGTCATGCCACTGCCTGGCTTTCCTTCTGAATGGCCTTGCTGTCCTCGGCTTGTTTAAAAGTAAGCCCCCAACAAAAATATAGCAAAAGTACAAACTTGTGCTGAATAAATGGAGTTTGTTCCCATTACTGAAGGGGAAGAGGTGAGGAAGTTTGGTGAGACTGGACTAGCCCCTTCAGCACGGCCTCTTCTGAAGATCAGAGACTGGACATCGATGGGATGGGATGAAAGCATGGAGGAAGCGCCATGCCCGTCTATTCCAGGGTGGGATGGAGGCTGGAGGAGGCATCTCTCCCATCGTGTCTGTTGTCTGTGGTGTGTGTTTGTGTGTGTCTATGTCTGTTTGTGGTGTTTGTGGATGGGATGGAGGCTGGAGGCATCTTGCCCGTTGCATCTGTGATTGGATGGAGGCTGGAGAAGGCATCTCGCCATCTCCTTTCTCCCTCTGGAGACTGGATGCCCACAGGTGGAGGCATTCGTGTCCAGGAGGCCCTCCTGGTGTCTGTCACACGCTGCCTGGTTGCTGATCCACCAGGTGGAGGGAGCTGCGGCCCGTAGCACAGCTCTCTGGTCAATATAGATGCTGGAAAACAGAAGGAAGGCAGACTAGGGAGGGAGGCCCTGTGGTCAGTACTAAGCTGGCAGGATGGGGCTGGGCACAGCCATCCAGGGGAGCACCTGGCGGGACTAGGCTCCAAGGAGGAATGGGACAGAAGGAGGAGAGTGTGGTGTGAATGTAGAGGTGTGAGTGACAGTTTGTATGTGGTATGTTTGTCTGTGTTTGTAGACTATGTCTGTGGTGTGAGTGTTTGTGGTATATGCCTGTGGTGTGTGCGTGTGTTTTTATGTCTGTGAGTGTATGTGGGGAGTGTGTGTGGTGTGTGTCTATGATTCTGCGTTGTGTCTATGTGCCTGTATGCCTGTGTTGTATGAGTTTGTGTGTGTATCTGTGGGTCTGGTGTGTGTGTCTAAGTGTGTGTCTCTGGTGTGTCTGTGTCTGGTGTATCTATGCGTGTGTGTTTGGTGTGTCTATGTGTGTCTCTGGGGTGTGCGCTCGCGCGTGCGTGTGTGAAACAGGTCGCCGGGCTGATGAGCGAGGCACATCCGCGGGCGCTGTCTGAGCAGGCAGTAAGGGACCTCGGGGACAGGATGGCGTATCCTCCCCAACCCCCAAGCCCAAGGATAAAGCCGGCGCACCCAGCCCCCAGCGTGCGCCCGCGGCGGCTTCCCCTCTGCCAGGATCTGCAGGGGGCTCGGCCTCACCTCTAGGACCTGCCTCTCTTTCCGCGCCAGTGAGGCTGCGCCTCCCCCCGAAGACCGACAGCTGCCGCGGGCCAATGGCCCGAGCCGCGGGGAGCCCACCTGGGCTGGAGGAGCTCCCGCAAAGAGGCGGGCACGAGGCAACCCAGGCGCGGGGTTGGGCGGGATCCAAGAGGAGGCTGGCCAGGCCTTCCCCAGCGGGGAGACCCAAGAGCCAGTGGCCAATAGGAAGGCGAGCTGGCGCGCGGGGCCAATGGGAAGGGGGCCT